GGATTCTCTCTGCCAGCGACGAAGCAGTCAGGAGGTTTTCCTGCAAGAAGCCACCATCAGGACGGTATCCGACAGGTTCTTCTGCCAAATCACCGGCTGTACAGCAGCCAAGGGTCTTCCAGCCAAGCCACCGGTGGGGCACCTTCTGGACTGCCACCGACAGCGACGTCCGCCGATATCGGTCAGGTCATCTATTCCTCTCTCTCTTTATATCTCTCCTTTTCCTCGGCGATTTTCACGGTTCGCGTTGCTACGCCAGGCTTCCCCGAGCCGGCGTAATTTTCGGCAGTGTTTAGTATAAGTTGTTTTTGAGCCGGTTAACGAGGTGACATGGCGCTAACGTGCGGGTCATCTCGTTTAGAATAAGTTTGCGTGTTATTAGTAATAAGTGGTTTGTACTCTCGTCGGCACTCGAGGTAGTGCGTTTATAATAAACGGTTTATCAACGAAATTGAGTGTGTGTGAAGTTATTTTGCCCGCTGTTCTCCTTTCTGCTTTGTTTGGAGCGATACACCGCCTCCCTTACCTTCCCCCTTTATAAATAATTGGTAATAATGGTGAATTTATCGGCATTGCACGCTGACGCTATTACAAATTTTACAAAAGCATTCATGCAACTTTTTACTTTGTTAAAAGTGTTTTTTTAGATTTATATGACGTTATAAATTGTAACGGTAAACGTCTTGTTTGCGCTATCGTCTCATTCAGGCGGCTGCCTACGAGGGCAGCACCTACCGGCCGGGGAAAATGGAAAACGGGAACTCGGTACGATACGGCACGGAACGCGCGAGAAGGTGAACGAACCAGTAAAGGATTAACCATCCGAGCGTAAGCAGCGAAGAGCCAGATCAATTTGGACGCCAATCCTTGGATACGAACAATCAAGTGTGTTATAGCGAGCGAATAATCCCCGTAATAGTCGTCGTGTGGAGTGGATCGAGACAGCGCCTTCGAGGGCCAACTATGAAGTCGTGGAACCCTCCACCCTCTAATATAAACATTTCATAGAGAGAAGGCGACCTGAGATACCGGAAGCGGCAACAACCTGTTCCTGATAGTGCGACCATACGTTTAAGGTAAGCTGACCAGCTTCGCGTTGCGATTGTTATCCAACCACCGCGCTTGATAGCTCTTTTCTTGTATCGGTGATTCTGCGAAAATCGGTAGCGTGCTTGCAAACGAACGTTGCAAATAAAGAATTGTAAATGAACTAGCGATGCATGATATTGACGCGCGCACCGTATAAACATAAACACGCGGGCCAAGCGTATTGTAGAGTAATAGAAAATAAATTAGTCCATGTTTAATTGAAACGAAAATTTACTGTTATCATTAGTAGTAAGTTGGTGGACTGATTCCTGTTCCCTCCTGCTCTCCGGTTAGAAAACGTGAATATTTCGATTTCGCCGCGCGCCTACGATTGCGCGTCGAGCGAAACAATGAAATAAAACGTATTTCCATTCCGTTACAAAATATATAATATAACTAGATCATAGTTTTTAACAGCTGCCACTTTTCATTCTTTTTAGCTCATCTTCGTTTCTTTTGCAATCCATTAGTAACTTTCTTTAAAAATTTCATTTTCATCATGAAATTAATATTTGTTATATACGATACATCGAAAACAATCACACGTCACTAGGTACATTGAACTGACTGCGTGCTCTGCTTACCGAAGCTCAAGCCACACTTAAAATGTTTGTATACATGCGGACACATGAAATGAGCTGCGATCAGCACTTACACCAGTTCAAAAATAAATATATTTGTGTCGGATATAAATGAATTTATTTATAAGCAATGCCTACAAATAAAAAAATTTTATTCTACGTTACAGAAATTTTGTATTTTTATTTGTTCGCTCTTATCTCAATCCCACATGATATTGGTTTTGGAATCTTTTCATATATATTTCCTTATACTACGAAGTAAAGTTGGCAGGTATTTCAACTATTTATCTGCAATAGTTTACGTGTGCAAATAAAAAAACTAATTTTTCTATGGAGTCGACAATAGAGTAATCACATTTTTAATCTCTCTAACTTTTTACCTAAATGTCGCACATTAAAAAATAAAGCAGATTTAGTTAAAGTTTCGAAAAGAGTGACGAAAAAAAAATTACATTCGGTTATCGAAAAAGTTATTTTTTTAATTCGACTAAAACCGACTTTTTTTTAAATATTGAAAAATGCAGTTTCCTTTACATTTAAACTGATTTTTTCACTCTAAGACTAGGCACACTTAAGAAAACTATTTCTTTGCAATAAACAAGCCTAGACTATAGTAAAATAATTTTATCAGATTTTTTGAAAACGACTTATTTTTATAACGGTCTTAAGAAAAAAATATTATGTGGCACATCTTTTTAAAATTAACCAAAAATTAGAATATTCCATTTTTTCCCGTAGGTTATTAACACGTGACAATAACATGGATAGAGTAATTTTATTTAATCTTATTCCCTTCTAGAAAATATTTTTTAATATTGTGAAACACTTCCTCGATATGCTCAAATATAGCGGTTTCCCGGAAGTTAAAAGTTTCGTGGATTTCCTCATATATATATATATATATTAAAGGAGAGAGTGAGAGAGGGAGAGAGAGAGAGAGAGAGAGAAAGAGAAAGTAAAAGAGAATGAAAAAAATACTTACAGTATTGCGATGGAGGTGTCAGTGGTATCTTGATAGTTCTCACCTTCAAAATATCAATTTGCGCAGGTGGTGTTTGCGGCAATTCCGGGTCTGTCCTTGCTGGAGATTTTACTGTAGCATTAGGCGATGAAAATACGAATATCTGGTCCATGAGTTGATCCAATTCCTCACAGGAAAACTCGTCGTTGATGGCTGCTACGGCTGCAGCAAGTGCATCTTGCCACAGTTCGGCATCCGTCAAGAGAAGCTCCTCCAAATCACGATGACTGTTATTCTTCTCGCTCTCCATTTATTCTTTTTTTTTACATAACCCTATCATTGAACTTTCTCTGCTAACAAAATATTTATTGACCTAACGTCACGAATCAATTCACTTTTTATTTTTTTTGCAAACACTGATCGGGCATTAGTCATTGGATTAAAAATTGGAGGTGGGAGAACACGCAATTGCTCTGATTTTTCTCGCACGCATAAAACGATCATAATCAATGGGGGGGAGTATTTAAAATTTAGTGGTGGGAATAACTAGGGAAATAATAGCGACTAGTGTGTAGCAGAAACACGGAAGTGTATTAATACGCGATCGTGATTGAACTTGCGTTTTTTTTTTCACTTAACATGCAAGCCATTTAAGGGAGTTGTACAGGCACCGTAGTAAAGCTTGACTCCTAAGTGTCTCAAGTAGTACTCGATCTGGCAACGTCGCTTTTTCAAGCATGTGTCGCGTGTCCGTGTATACCATTTGTGCAGCTCGTGTAAACAAAATCGAAACCTAGTCAGAATATTCAGATATTAGTATGCCTAAAGAAAAAACAAAAAGATTGTATTGGAAAGGTAAACGCGTTTCTGAAAAAGTCTACAATGCTCGTTTGAATCAGCAAAAATCTGGGAGAAATGTCCGTTCAATATACGGAACGAAGAACAGTGAACTACATAACCTAGCATTTGATACAAAATCTCATTTGAATCTAAGATCGAACCGAAAGTTTATTGACCTCAAAGATGAAGGCTACAGAATCATAAATGTTGAAGAAACTGCTCGTCAACTAATTTGCAAAAAATGCTGCAATATATTGTCACTGCTGGACGCAAAAAGTTGCGTCGCTTCTGGTTTGGGAGCTACCTACTATGTTGAATGCCGAAAATGTTTTTTCACTAACGACGTCACCACAGACAAACAGCACAATATTGGAGCATCGCAGAGAAAAACCTTCAACTCTAATACGAAAGCTGTTCTCGGTAAGTAAGGATTGTATGTACTATACCTATTGTATACTAACTAAACACATATACTAACAGCATATAAATAATGCGATTTACTCTTGCTACACATACGCCTGCAGTATAAAGTCATTACATACGTTGTTTACAAAATATTGTTTGTTATCTATTCTCACTCGATTGTTTATCGCAGGTACTCTCAACGGAGGAGGGGGCCGTACTTCATTGAACAAACTTCTTGCTGTAATTGGTGTTTCCCCAATGAATCCAAATACATTCAAAACCCATGAAAAAGAAGTTGGAAAACTTGTAGATGAACTGGATGAAAAAAGTTGCCTAAATGCTGCTCAAGAAGAAAGAAGATTAACTATAGAAAATTCTGAAATGCTGAAAAAGTTATTGTAAGTTGTTTAAAAAACTGTTGGTGACTCCGTTAATGAATCAATCATGTACCTCATTTTATAATCTTTTTTTTTATGTGAGATCGAATTTACAATTTTTTTACGTATCGTAACTTCAATGTAAGAAAACTACGATTAACTTTTAATATTACGACAGTTTTTCTGATTGTACACGACTTTTTTGTTATTCATTTAATTTTTAAAGAGATATATTTTCTTCTCGTGATTTATAAAATTAAGCTACTTTCTAACGTACATAATAAAGTATATAAGAATAATCGATAATATAATTGATTGCAATTTTTTCAGCTTAATCATGAAATAACTGATCTATACACAATATATTTTGATTTTTACGTAATAAAGAAATTAGAATGAAATTTAAAAAATCTGTGACGTCTACATTATTTTTTCTCCGACATTTTCAAGCCTGAAAATTTGCAAGATGATTTTTTATTTCCTAGCTCATCGGTTCATGACAAAGAGAATAAAAATATTCCCGCGAATAATATTGTTCGAGTAGTAGGATGCTTCGATATGGGGTGGCCTACTAAAGGTTCAGGAAGAAGCTATGACAGTTTATCTGGCACAGCAGGCATAATAGGCTTTTTTTCAGAAAAAATAATATCACAAGTAATCTTGAACAGGAAATGCCGGTTATGTGATCTCGGACATGACAAAAATGATCATGCTTGCAAAAAGAATTTTGTAGGAAGCGCAAAGGCAATGGAGCCAAGAGCAGCTGCTATGCTAGTCGGTGAAAGTAATCAAATTTTGTCGAAGACTAAAATACAGCTTGGAATTTTCATAGGAGATTGTGATTCTTGTACCATCCAGTCAGCTCGTAATGCTGTAGATTATGAAATAGTCAAGCGAGATGATACCAACCACACTGCTAACACATTAACTTCGCAGTTATATAAAAATATTAAAAAATTTAAGGAATTGAATTCCAACAGCATCAAATATCTCAGTAAGTGCTTCAACTATGCCGTAGCGCAGAATAAAGGCGATATTAGCAAATTGGCTGACGCGATTAGGAATATCCCATACCATTCTTTCAATATGCATCGACAGTGCGGAGATTGGTGTTGCTATTCTGAAGATCCAGAAGCATATAAGCATTCAGCTATTGGAGAAGGGTTTCAAGATCCCTATTTATTTGATTATCTTTTAGATATTTTCGACGTGATGGCCAATAAGGCTAGTAGTTTCGCTGCAGGAGTATCAAGCAATACTAATGAGAGTTTTAATGCCATGGTCGCAAGTAAAGCTCCCAAAGCACACTTATATGGTACTTCGATATCATATAATACTCGAGTTGGCTTGGCTGTCTTGAAGAAAAATGAAGGTGAACAGTTTTTAATACAATTATTGCATAATTGTAATTCATCTCCAACGAAAAAACTGAGGAAATACTATGCAAATGTAGATACATATCATAAAAAAAGATATACTAAAGCTAATACTACTACTTTCAAGCGGCGACGTTTATTATTAAAACAGCAAAAGTCGGAACTTAGGCATAAAGTTGAGTTGACGGAGGGTACTACTTATAAATCCAAAGCTTTTTTGGTGGATAATATAACAGCGAGTATTAAAGTAGCTTCTATAAAGGAATCCTTAGAAGTCATTGTTGTATTATTCGATTTAGAGACGGGAAGTTTATCTGGTAACTGTGAAATATTACAAATTGCTACAAAACATGAAAAATATGATTTTAGTACTTACATTAAACCTACTAAAAAAATTTCTGATAAATCTAGCGAGGTACATGGTTTAATATTAATTGATGGTTGCATGAGAGCCCATGGAAAAAAGGTTGTTGCAGTCACTCTACCAGAGGCATTGATAGGGCTATATCAATTTTTATTTGCATTTAAAAAAAAGTGCGTTTTGACAGCTCATAACTGTGCTTTTGATTGCCCCAGATTGATAAAGGGTGTTGATAAAACTTTCTTAACCAAGTATTTTCAAAGTATTGTTTTCGGATTTTCAGATACATTACCTATCGTACGTGGTATGTCAAATATAAAAGGTGCTGGGCATAACAAACTACAAAATATTGCTGCACGTTTGAAGATAGAAGGTTATGCAGCTCATGATGCTTTAGATGATATAGCAATATTAAACGAAATTTTAACCAAGTTGAAAATTACTAACGATGAAATGAAAAATCATGCTATACAATGGTCTGCTGAGAAAGATAAAATTGCTTTGACTGATAAGTGTCAATCCAATATGAAATTGTACGACGAATTGAAAACCTGTACATCAGTACAAATGAGAAAAAAAATGATCGCATGTGATATTAGTGTAGATATGATTATTGATAATTATAAACAAGAAGGATATGACGGGTTATCACGTTTATTAGGCCGTGATGAAAACGGCAAGGTCCGTGTAACGAACAATAAGAATGTTATATACAAAATTATTAATTACTTGAAAAGCAAGTATTAATTATTGATAAGCTGCAAAAGTGATTTATTCAATAATGTTAATAATCAAATTATTATCGTCAAATTATTGAATAATTTAATTTAAAAAAATGTATAATTCAGCAAAATGTATAGTTCATGTGATACTATTGTTATTACAACTCAAATATTAGTAGATTTAAAAAATTATAAAGACTCTGTATGTACTCGTATGTGTACTTCTTGCATTTTATCTTAAAAAACAACACTTGTAAAGTGATATTATGAATAATAAAAATGTTTTCACATTTGTTTATTATATTATTACTGAATCTATTATTTAATTGGCATGAGTTAGTTAATTACTTCATCATTTCAAATATAAATGATCAAAGCCGGCAGTGTTTGCCAGAGTTGTTTGTTTCGTTCAATTTCAAAGTGCGCGCACATAACCCAATTCGCGCGGCGTTGCCATGTCGTGTAAGATAACTGTCTGAAACCGTTTTCAGTACTAATTATTACATTTATCTTTACTGAGAGAAGTAAGCTTCACTAATTATTAAAGCTAATAAATAATCCTCAGATATCCTTCTACCTACTATCTCCATTTCGATTCAACCTATCCATCAGTTACAGAAATATCGATGATAATGTGCAGTAAACTCTACGACTTCTCATAAGACTCCATGTTAAATTGACGCGTGGAGCACAAAAAGAAATCGCGAATAACTCTTGTTCAAGCTAACCTCGGCCCTTGAAAATTTGTGTAAGTCATTATTTTACTATCTTTCAACATTCTGCAAAGTTTGGTATTTTTCTATCCATCAATTCTATTTCCTGTACAACTCCCTTAAGTCGGTCAATGTCAACGGACGAGCCGCAAGTGCATCGGCTCATTTCATTGATATCATCGATTATTATTTATACATTTTGCAACGGGGTGTATTAGCTGGTACAAAATGGATTATATTAAAGAAGAAACTCCCACGATGCATAGCTAACCGCCGCTCCGTTAATCACGTATGAGTATACGTGTATTCGCCTTTACGTTTGATACTTTCATTCCACTGTCTTCTTTTCCAACAGAGTTGAACTCACTTTAAGTTACCTGACTTGTGACACTCGATCTATCTTAGGTGTAAGTGACCTAATGTTTATTCCAACTATCCCCTAGATAAAATCGGTTTAAAAAAATAACTGGTGACGCATCCGTTAAGCTAAAAGGAAACTAAATAACGTAATGCGGAGAATAAAATTAATATCGTTTATCACTAAAAAACTACAGTCTTCGTTGGGCCAAAAGACTTGCGCACGCGAATAGGATTAATAAATTTTTACAATAATACGGGAAGAGAGAGAGAGAGAGAGAGAGAGAGAGAGAGAGAGAATTCAAAATTAAACCGCGAAAGCTAACGCTCGGCGTGAATACAAAAATAGTCGCGATAGATAAAATACTACCGTAAGTATTTTGTCGTGCAGAAAAAGGGAGGTACACCTACCCTGTGGTGCAATTACGTTGATTAGCCGTAATTGTTGAAGATAAGCGAATTCTTTCCCTGGAAAAGCTGCGCTGGTTCCTCATGCTACAAATTGACTGCTGCTGCGCTTAATGCTGCTGTTCGCTTGCTGCTGCTGTGATTACTGCTTGCGATCACTCGTACACGAATCAAAAAACCCAGAAAGACAACTTTTGATCGGCAAAACGGCAGGAACACAATAGAAAATTATTTGGCGGTACTCTCACGAACAACAGCTGAGGCTTAACTGAAAAATTGAACTTTCGCACGCCCCCTCTCTCTCTCTTAGACGTTCGCTCTAGCATTGCGAGTGCTACCGAATCGCGAACGTATCAATTGATCGAATTGACTACCGTTGCAATTTATAATAAATTTTATAATAAATTTATAATGAAAAAAAACAGCACTTTTGAGTGCTACACGTATGAATAAACGAAAAAAAGATAATTATTGATACACTGTAACCTTGCGCTTTTTTTATTCATCCTTATTCTATTTTTTTTCAGCGGAAGCAGTGAGTAAGTATAAGGTAGGTATCTTTTAAGTTACAGTGCCGCTCACGCACTTTTACCCCCCCACGGGCAAAATCAGTCTAACTTCAAAGTTTTATATCTCTGGTAGAAATTAACGTACAGAGACGCGCGTGGATGCGTTTGAAAGGTCTTTCGGAGAGCTTTCAAATGATATGACTCACGGTTGCCATTGATTGTTTTTTTAAATTTTGCAACAATTATGCAAAATTGAAAATTCTGAAATTTTTTTATTATTTTTGACAATTAGCCAATTTTGGAAAAAAAATCGTACGAAAATTTGAAGTACACCATTTTTAGCTATTACCAAGCCCTATCTGAATCACTCATCAAAAATTTATTTTCGTCAAATATGACGCGCGCACGGGCATTTTTTCCTGGAAGTGACAGTTTTTTTCAACATTTTTTATCTCCGTCAAATTGTAACAATCGAAAAAAATTTATAGGAGAAAAAATATTTGTTTTTTCACGTAGAATAATGCAATAATTTTTTTTTTGGTTTTTCGAAAAATTTTTTTTTTCGGTTTTTTTCAATTTTTTTTCTCACTCGGTACGCTAAAAAGATGAGAAACCACAAAAAAAAATTTTTTTCCACCCATTCAATAATACTACATAACAAGTATCGTAAATTACATAAAAAAAAAATCTTTTTTTTTTTCGACCTTGAAAAATAATAATTTAAACCGAAAAAAAAAATTTTTCGAAAAACCAAAAACAAAATTGTTGCAGTATTCTACGTGAAAAAACAAACATTTTTTCTCCTATAAATTTTTTTCGATTGTTACAATTTGACGGAGATAAAAAATGTTGAAAAAAACTGTCACTTCCAGGAAAAAATGCCCGTGCGCGCGTTATATTTGACGAAAATAAATTTTTGATGAGTGATTCAGATAGGGCTTGGTAATAGCTAAAAAATGGTGTACTTAAAATTTTCGTACGATTTTTTTTCCAAAATTGGCTAATTGTCAAAAATAATAAAAAAATTTCAGAATTTTCAATTTTACATAATTGTTGCAAAATTTAAAAAAACAATCGATGGCAACCGTGAGTCATATCATTTGAAAGCTCTCCGAAAGACCTTTCAAACGCATCCACGCGCGTCTCTGTACGTTAATTTCTACCAGAGATATAAAACTTTGAAGTTAGACTGATTTTGCCCGTGGGGGGGTAAAAGTGCGTGAGCGGCACTGTATATTAAAGGTAATTATAATAATAATAATTTTTTTCTTTGCAATCGCGCGTGCGCTTTTTTCCTTGCCACTGTCAAGCAGTGATCGGCCCATTTCAGGACCACTTCTTCTTGTCCACGTTTAAAACTCCTTCGTACTAAAAATTAGTGATAAATTTGACCAAATTAATATATTAATTATAAAACAGCACTTTTCAGTGCAATATATATATGATAACGTATGAACGAAAAAAAAAGATAATTATTGATAAACTGTAATCTTGATTTTTTTATTTATCCATATTACATTTCTTTTCAGCTGAAGCAGCAGGTAAGTATTAGGTAGGTATCTTTTAAGTTATATTCAGCGTATTAAAGACAAATGATAATAATTTTTTTCTTTTTTGCTAAATCAAAAAATAATATAATCAGCACGTACTCTACCTATAAGAGTTGTCATAGGTCAAGTGGTATAGTGTTGACGTGCAGATGGTCAGAGTGCAGTTTCGATTATCCGTAATATCAAAATAAAAAAAAAAATTTTTTTTTAATTATTTAATCGAATCCTATAGATAGATTTTATGTAAATTTTGAAAATTAATTTTAAAAAATGTTAAAAAAATTGACTTTTTTTCTGTAATATATGCAAGGGTTGTAATTTTTCAATTGAATGTATTGAATGTATTGAATCTATGGCATGTATGGAATTTCTTTAATGGAGGGGAAAATCTCAGTCGTCCACTATAAAAGTAATCTGCATCTCATTAGCAGTTGCATTCGTATCGAGCATGTACCTACGAAGCGTGTAAAGTGTGAAAGAAAGAGAGAAAAAGGTGATACGAGGATTTTACAATGAGCTGCAACAAGAATGACTATAAGTAATTTTTTTTTGTTTATAGAGAATATTTTATATTTTATATATTTTTTTCCAATATATTTTTGTGATTTTTGTATTTGTGTAATTTGAGCAAGCGAGACTGAATAGCTTCACATTTCAATGGACATGCGTACACATACAACCAGCAGCTCTTGCTGCAGCCGGCTTCTACTATACGGGGCAGATTGATCGAGTGCACTGTTTTGAATGAGGTCTGGAAGTCTGTCTTTGGGAAGAAGGTGACGACCCTATGACGGAACAGAGCTGGGCTGGCCATTGCCTTTTCATTCGCAACAGAAGTTGCGGCAATGTGCCGATTAGATCGAGCCCCGTACCAGTACGATGATTGTGGACGGTATAAGCGCAAGTATCGGGCTGGAACAACGTGGGAAGAGCTAGCGCGCGCAACGGCTAGCGTACCTACTGCTAACCCGTACGTATGTACAAACGAACGTGTGTTATCGATGAAAAGTCTTATTACAAAACTTTTTTCTGACTTACATTTGACGGAGAAATATGGTTCAGAAAGCGAATCGGATATAGTCATTAGGATAATATCTGTTTATGACGAACTTTTACGCGATCATAAGAAGAGTATTGACAAACAAATAGAAAAATTAAATAAAATTAGCGAATGGGTTGAACAGTCGCAGCGAGATATAGTCAATATTTTGATATAGTCAATTTGAAATTACTAGATGTGAGATATGTTTGGATGCTAGGATTGCTGTACTCTTTTTACGTTGTGGACATATCGCTGTATACATGGAATGTGCATCAAGAATTCACGATTGTCCAATATGTCGTCAAAATATTATCAAGCGTGTTCATGCTTATGTTGAGTAAATTTGTTCTTTTTTTAAATAAATTATTTTTAAAAAATATTTGTGTACTTTCTTTTCTTCGTTAATCTACTATTTATATTTTAATGTTAAATTTTATTTTGATAGA